TTAAAACCGAAAATAAATTTTTTGACGCTACAAAAATGTTGCATTCAAATCAAATGCAAAACTGAATTCCAGCAATTACTCAACATGGAAATTCAAAATGCAAATGCTACTAATAAAGGAGGATCTTTACGATGTAATCGAAGATGTTCCTCCAAGCCCTATTACAGAACAATGGAGTAAATGGGATCGGCAATATCGCGCATTGATAAATTTGTTAATCGAAGACAGCCAAATAATTCACATTAAACTACTGCTAAAGCCACTTAAGAAAAACTTGGGCAGGTACATGAAAGGTCTAATCTTTCAAGTAAACTATTTCTCTTGCAAAAGTTTTGCAATCTGAACCTTGAGGAAGATGGAAATATGCAAACATATATAAATACGTTACTGGAGTTAGTCAATAAACTCAAATCAATAGGTGAGAACATAAAAGACGAACACGTTTTGGCACTTTTGCTTTGTTCAATGTCTAGTTCTTATGATACACTCATTACGACTATTCTAGCCAGAGCAGAATTGGAATTGAATCCAGAATTCTTAAAAGGGAAATTAATTGACAAATTTAACAAGAGAGTTGAAAATAATTCATCAGATTTAAGGCATTTAAAGTCTCATTTCAAAACAAAACAAAGAGAGAAAAGTTTTGCTCATACTGTTACAAAAATAACCATTAAGATCAGAGTGTTATCATATAAAATCGAAACACAAAAATGAACCGCACCAAAACTCAAAGAAAACATATGCGGATTCTAAAACACACCAAGCAAAGAATGCGTGTAACCTGCGATGAATCAACAAGAAATAAAAATTAAAACACAGGAAATCGAATTCAGATGGAATGCAGTCGCTCTGTCTGCTGACAAAACCCTACGCCAATCATCAGAGTTTTATTTTCGACAGCGGAGCAAGTAATCACCTGGTAAATAATAAGAAATATTTCACAGAATATAAACCCATAAATCTGTCAGATATTATAACTACGAATGGGCAATGCATTAAATCAATGGGGATAGGAACTCTCCGTTTTAAAACATTAAATGCTAAACAAAAAATAACTGAAGTTCTCTTATTGGAAGTTTTATACGCTCCTGAATTAGAAGCCAATTTAATCTCAATTAAGAAAATAATGGAAAGGGGACTTTCAGTTCTGTTTGAAGGAAATAAATGTATGATCACGAAGGGAGATCAGATTATTCTAGAATGTCGTGGAATTAACAATCTTTACCAAATTAAACCAATCGATAGGAATAATGAACCATCAGCTCATGTAGCATTTCAGTGTAAAGATGAGAACTGTGTTCAATATTGGCATGGATGCCTTGGTCACAGAAATGATGAGGCAATCAAACAACTTTTAAACAAAGATTTCGCTGAAGGAATTAAACTAGATAATTGTAAACATGATACCAAATGCATGCAGTGCATAAAATATAAACTAACTGATTCCTGTGTCCCAAAGAATCGAAATTCAAAGCATCTGAACCGCTAGAACTCATTTACGTTGATGTTTTAGGACCAGTACAAACACCATCGTTGTCAGTCAGTTTATACCTATACTTCGTAACTTTTATTGATGATTACAGCAGGTTCACAATGATTTACCTAATGAAAAAAAAGAAAAATGAAAAGTAAGTAATTTCTAAACAAACAATTTTTTGCTCTTACAAGCAATAAATTCGGAAGAAAAGTAAAAATGCTAAGAAGTGATAATAGCGGTGAGTATACAAGTAAGGAACTTGAAGAATGTCTTATAAAACAAGGTATAAATCACCAGCTTACTGTACCATATTGTCCAGCACAAAATGGAGTCAGTAAACGCAATAATAAGTCTTTGATGGAGATGACAAGATGTCTTTTAGTTGAATCAGGTCAACCTCACAGATACTGGGCAGAAGCAGTGCTGACTGCAAATTATTTACAGAATTGTATGCCTACAAAATCAAATGCAAAAACGCCATACAAATTATGGAATAACAAGAAACCCAACCTCTCTCATCTGAGGACTTTCGGTGCGAGGTTTTTGCTTACACCCATAAATCTAAAAGGGATAAACTCGCTGATGATACTGCTATAGAAGGAATACTCATTGGCTATGACAGCAGAAGTAAAGACTACAGAATTTTAGTCCCTGGAGACAAAATCATAATAAGTCTATCTGTACGATTTATTGAAGACACTGGAACTGATGAACCTGTAAGCATCTCTTTAAACCAGGATGAAGAAAATCTTAAGGCAGAAAGCTCAGAACAGGAAGAAATAAAAATAGAACACAAAGAGGAAGAAATACCAGAACATGAAGAAGAACCTTTGGAAGTCGGAAGATAGAACAGGGTCACAAAAGTAAACCTCCTGATTGCTATGGATTCCATGCAAAATATCCAATCTCTTCCAAACCCAAAACCTGGAAGGAAATTCAAACTTTAGAAGAAAATGAAAAGAGAAAATGGCTAACTGCTGTTCGAGAAGAAATTAATTCACTAGAAGAAAACAACACTTGGGAATTAGTTGATTTACCAAAAGGAAGAAAACTAATAGGATGTAAATGGTCTTTCAAAACCAAGCTCAATGCAGAAGGAAAAATTTAAAGATCCAAAGCCAGATTAGTTGCAAAAGGATTTAGCCAGAAGTTTGGACCTGACTATGATGAAACCTTTACTCCTGTAGTAAAATACAACTCTACGAGCTTTCCTATGTGCAGCTTCATATAAAAACATGTCTGTCAGACATATCGATGCCAAAACAGCTTTTCTTCATGGAGAACTTGAAGAAGAAATTTACATGACTCAACCCGAAGTATACTTAAAAGCTGGAAATGGAAATAAAGTTTGCAAGCTGAAGAAATCTATATATGGTTTAAAACAAGCCGCTAGATCTTGGAATCTAAAAATTGGAAAAATACTTCTAAACATGTCATTTAAACAAAGTAAAGCAGACCCATGCTTGTTTTTCAAAACCATCAATGGAAAATTGATGTATATAATATTATATGTAGATGATATGCTTATAGGAAGTGAAAGAGAAGATGTAATGGAAACAATCCAAGAACTAAATGCTAAATTGGAAATAAAAAATGTAGGAGAAGTCACCTACTACCTCGGCATAAACATCGAAAGAACTAAAGATGTAACCTTTGCCATAAACCAAAAGAATAAAATCGAAGAAATAGTTAAAAAATTTGGACTTCAAAACGAAAAACCAACATATACACCAATGGAAACAAACTACTGCTATCTAGAAATTGAAGATGATCTTCTAGAAGATAATACAGAATATAGACAAGCAGTAGAGCAATATTATATATTGCAACAATCAGCAGACCAGATATAGCATGTGCTGTCAATCTACTGACTAGAAGAAATGAAAAACCTAGGAACATAGATTGGAATGCTGTTAACGACTTGCGCTAAAAAGACGTGCCACGCACATCGAGATGCTTTTTGTCTCAAACCGCACGCAAAAATGAAAATAATTGGGTGAACACGTCGCCTAACAACGAGATTGTTTATTTCTCGAGTTACAGCTCTGGATTGCAGACGCGGAGCAGTGTAAATGAGACGCTTTACCGCTTGTTATATTGTAGCGCACAGCACCACAACCGTGAAGTTTGGTCGTAGTGCAAGTGGTTAAGAAAGTCATTCGATATTTAAATACAACTAAAGACTTTAAGTTGGTCTTTAACAAAATCCAAGAACCTATACTAACTGCATATTCAGATGCAGATTGGGCAAATGACAGAACAACAAGAAAATCAGTCAGCAGATGTATATTCAAACTAAGAAATAACTGCATTTCATGGAGCAAGCAAATAGCAAAACTGCATTGCACTATCTTCAAATGAAGCAGAAGCAGCTAATACAGCACAAGAAGCACAGTGGCTGATAAATTTGCTTAAAGATCTAGGACTAAAACAAAATCTGCCTATTACTCTTTATAAAGATAACAAGTCATACATCAAACTATCACAAATAGAGAAAAATAGCTCCAGAACAAAACATGTAGACGTCAAATACTACTACTTGCGTGAACTTCAACAAAACGGGATCATGAGCCTAGACTACTGCAAAAGCTTCGACATGATTGTGGATCTGTTCACCAAACCACTAGGCAAGCTTGTGTTTGAGAAAATTCGAGAATCGCTGCAAATGGCGATGCTGCCCATCAAGTATCACAATTGTGATGGACTGTCGCCAATAGAGCGTTAAACATTATGAACTAGAAACCCTGCAAAATAGTTAACTGTGTAACTCGCTTAATCTTTACTCTCACTTTTCTCATTCCTTCAGGAAAGGACAGTAATATGACACTCTCTATTATATAACTCCCTTTTTCAATATGTGTTTGGAATACTAACGAATTTTAATCTATTTTCATGTATTAATAAAGAATGTGTTTCACTTACAATTTCCGTCTATAACCTTTCTTGGATTACAAGTTAATTAGCTATCATTTCACTTGAAACTGCACTGGATCCAAGGTAAGAGAAATCATTTTGCTCTCTACTTTTATTAATTTGTTGTGAAATTTTGAGGCTATAAAAATGTTTTACAACAAGTTGAATGTTTGGTATTCATGTGCCATCTGCCAAATTCATGTCAAGTTCTTTTAAATTTTTGCAGCCTATAAGATGGGTTTTAAAGATTTAATTGATTATTAATTATGTCGCGTTTTGCATGTTATACTAGGTGATACCATGCTGACTTCACATGTAGCCTGAAATAACAAGCCATTAGATAAAATTACTAATTAAAGTATTTAAACTAGATGGTTATAATATTTCTCACAATATTGTGAGTTGGCATTTTATTGACTATTCAAATATTTATTGATTTTTCAGTTTTTGACCAATGAAAAAAATTATTTTGAACACTAGTGTAATATCTGCATTAAAAGCAAACTTTTTTTTTATATTAATTTGATAGTTCTGTATTAAATAAGCTGATTTGTTTTAACAAATTCTAGGTCAAATAAAATTTGTCTTCATTTATGTTTAAATGTTTCAGGTCACGTTTGGGATGTCAGATATCAATCACAAAAGATATGGAAGGATTAACTGTTACAGTTCCTGCAGCTGTAAGGGATTTAAGAGAATTTCCACCAGGAACTGACGCCAGCAAAGCTTAACTATTTTTTAAATTATCAAAGATCTGCCTTTTTTGGCCAATTTTCACATCTGGCCACTTTATGAACATAACAAAAATTTTCAGTAATACATGAAACTGGAAGTATAAGTTTTATAAACAGTATTGCTTATAATTTTACTTTTTTCTTTTTAAATATTGCAACATATGTTGTTTATTAACGTTCGTAAATAAAAGTTTAGTTCTGTCACAGAAAATATGAAGCTAGAATTAATTAAATTTATTCATATGTTTGTCAAATGGGTGGAAAGTAGTGAATACTCTTGCTGAGAAACAAAATTGATTATCTTCAGCTATTTTCTTCTTCCCCCTCCAGATTGTTTTATTAAATTATTATTGTTTTACTTTTCAATATGATTAGCAATATCTGCACATTTGTTAGGTTAACTAGGTTAATTTTAGTAGGTGTTTTTAATAGTCATTTGTATTTTTAAGTATTTCCTGCTGCAGTTATATTAATCTGTTTCATAAATAGCCTATTAAAATATTTTTATTCAGGTATAAATGTAAAAACAGTAATTAAAATATAATAATGTAAATATATGACTTAATTATGTATTTTATGGCTCAAAATTATAAACTAGTTATTAACTTTTATCAAAATATTTGCCAATTTACATATAGTATAACTATTGTGTATATATTGAATAATTATAATATAACTATGATTATTCATTTGAGCCAATCTTATACTATCAAAACTGTTTTTATTGTGACATAAAAATTATGCTGTTATTTTATACCCTTAATTTGATTACTTTCCTTAAACATAATCAGTTTCTTAAGTTAAACTGGAGATAAATGTACCGCTTTGATTAAAAGGCAGTTATAAATTAGACATCACTTTAATATAGCATTATCATGTTATGAGTTGTTATTTACTTTGTATCTTAGTTCATCTCAAAGAAGGTCTAACTGTTGGACACAGTCTTGAACATAAAAGCATTAAAATAATATATTAGTAAGCTTATATGCTGAAGGGCATAGTACATGTTCTTTTTTCCTAAGATAACATAGAAAGGAAGATATAATTTTTTAATATTTAACATCACATATTTTCATTTCTTGTAAATTAGATTAAATATATTACTTCAAATCCTATATAAATAACCATTTCATTAACTTGAAAATCATTAATGTAGAGACAAATCTTCTAAAACCTTCTTTTTATGATGCCAATAAAAATTTTTAATTAACAATTAAAAAGTAATCATGAAGACATGTATAGGCTAGTGACAAAGATTATTTATTTATGATGCTCTAAATTTTATTTGACTACATGTTTCCTTGTCTACTTGCCTAAAATAGTGATGACAAATAAGAAAAATGATGTAATGATTTTTAATAAACCTCACTTTGTGTTACGAAGAACACAGAAAATATATAAATCAAATATATTTAAAACAGTTCGTTCAGTTGCGGGCCTGCCTCTACCCGAGGCTGGGTGCATTATGAATAAAGACAAAAAAATTTCTTAATAAATCATTCTTTATTTTCCATCAAAAACAGTATCACTCTTCCGAGCTCAGCTTTCGTTCGTCCACACGTAAAACATTCGAAAAAACTCAGCACGCAGGCTGACGTCACAAGCAGCAGCGCCTCGCGCCGGTTATTACTTCAGTTCATTTCACAACATCCTCCCCCCCCCTTGAGACTCAGGTTGAGTCTCAAACTCATAAAACAACATTATTTAAAAGATCAAGTCTTTTTGGAACTTTTACAAGTCGTCCAGAGGAGGATATGTTGTTGCATCACCATTTTTTATCAGGTGCAATACTCTTTTTTTTTTAACGTACACCCAGCACTAGAATTAGATTCCTCTGCACCCAGTTTCTTATCAGGAATTATGTTTCTATCATTGGACTGTATCTCCAGAGGAAAGATGCGTTGTATTGGTCGTATAACTATTCCATGCCGGGTCTTAAGTTTAACCGTACGAATCTTTCCATCACGTCCAGGGATCAATTCTGTAATTCGGGCTAAAGGCCAAAATAAACGTTTTCTGTTATCATCCCCCCCATCAGTACTATTTCTCCTACAACAGGTTCCCGAGATCGCTTTTTTTCATTATGCTTTTGAACCAGTTGACTAAGGTATTCTTTTCTAAATCGTTGTCTCAGATCATTTAACAATTTAGTTCTATACTTTAATCTCTTATTAAGACTTGACGAATTTAATTCATCAAGATCTTCAACATTGGAATTTCTGTTCTCGATAAGAAACATGGCGGGTGTCAGAGGTACTAATTCTTGCGGATCTTCAGAAACATAAGTTAAGGGTCTAGAATTAATTATAGTTTCACAATCACAAATAATAGTACAAAGTTCTTCAGATGATACACTGTTTTTACCTAAAGTACGTTTTTAAAAACAATTCTTTTACTGTACGAACCAACCTCTCCCACCAGCCACCCCCCACCAAGCTGCAGTAGGTGGAATAAATTTCCAGATTATACTTTCAGTTCCCGTTTCCTTTACTACTTTAGTCCAATTTAGTTTTGATAAATCATTAGACGCACCCCGAAAATTTGTCCCGTTATCACTATAGATTATTCTAGGGCGTCCGCGCCTAGCAACAAATCGTCGAAGCGCCAGGAGAAACGCATCAGTAAAGAGAATTTACGAGTTCAAGGTGAATGGCACGGTACACAGCGCAGGTGAACAGCGCGATCCACACCTTTCCTCCATTTTTTTAAAAACAGCGGTCCGGCCAAAATCAATCCCTATGATTTCAAATGGCGCACAATCCGTAACTCGGTCTGGGGCGGCAGAGGTGTCGGTTCGCTTGACATAGCCTTAGTTTTAAATCTTTTACAAACGATACAGTTAAAGAGGACATTTTTAATGGCCTTTCTAGCTCTGACTATCCAAAATCTTTCTCGTAATATGCATTGCATCATCTGAAGACCAGCATGACAGTTCTTATTATGCACATTTCTGATTAATAACTTAGTGAAATCACATTTTTCTGGTAACAGTATTGGATACAGAAAAGATTCATAGGTCATCTCTATTTAGTATTCTCGTTTTAACTCTTAGAATACCATCATCATCAATGAGCGTTTCAATAAAATTATAATATTTCTTATCAGTCAGATAATAATTTTGAACCAAACGAATTAAATTTTTCTCAGAATTTTCAATTTCATACTGTGAAAGTTCAATCTGTTTCCATTCTTTTCAGAACCACCTTTACAATTATTTACAAATCTAAATATCCATGCAAATACTCTAATCATTTTTATCATAATTGGATACACTGATTCGATGCCAAGGGGGTGCGTCTTTTGATAGATCAATATTCACTCTTTTTATCTTTTTCCTCTCCAATTCTCTACTTCTTCATGCAAATAAATAATCTCACCAGTGGGCCAGTTTTCAGGGCCTTCTCGCAACCACAAGGGGCCTTCCCACCATCTAGACCGAAGCATTTGCTTCGCAAAACATCCGCGCGACAACAAGTCGGCAATATTTAGTTTCCCTGGGATATGTCTCCATGAATGACCTCGCGTCAACTCTCGAATCTCTTTAACCCTATTTTCGACGAAAACGGACCAATTTCCTTGCTCTGTTATCCACCAAAGGGCAGTGGTTGAATCAGACCAGAAGGTAACTTTTAAATCGGGCAAACTGAGAGCTTTGATAATAGAATTTGCAAGTCTAGAACCTATACAACAGGCCATTAATTCTAAGCGAGGAATGCTTAAAGATTTCAAAGGCGATACTCTAGACTTCGCCCGTACGAGATTTATTTTTACTTCAGAATTAAATATTGATCGAACAAAGACGCACGCTGCATACGCCCCCTTGCAAGCATCCACAAATACATGTAGTTCAGACGTGTCATTGATAAACAAGTATCGAGGCAAAGTAACATCTTTCAAAACATTAAGTTCTTTAAACCAGTTCAAAAATATATTTACATCATTCGGAGACAATTCATCATCCCATGCAATTTTCACTTTCCACAATTTTTGCAACAACAGTTTTGGAAGCAATGTAGTTGGCGTTATTAAACCAATAGGATCAAAAATTGTCTGCACAATTGCCAAAATTGTCCTCTTTGTGATTTTTTGTATCACAGGTCAATGTATCTGTGTCTGTGCAGCACCTCAGCGTATCATTATCCATTATCCAATTCCAAATAAATTACCCCCAAAACGGAAGTATCCCCTGAATGTTTGTCAACATTTGTACCAGCCACATTGCTTTCAAAACCGCGCAAGTTAAAACATCCATTTGACATGATTAATTTGGAATGTTCAATAAACATAAACTGTTCATCAATACTAAAAACACTAGATAAACAATTATCCACATAAAATGACGATTTCAATTTTTGAGCAACTTCACTATATTGACGTGGACAGTTTTCTAATAGATGCATTTATAGATGCGTTCAACAAGTAGGGGCTCGAAGAAACTCCAAACACAACTCTGCAATGCCTATAAATTAATTTCTCTTCATTGCATGGGAAAAAAAAAATCTGAGAAAATCTCTATCTTTAGATGCGACGGATAACATTAAAAAAGCCTTTTTCAATATCGGCACTAATACCAATCGGATACATTCTAAAACGATCTATAATATCAGGTATTAATTCAATAAGATTTATTCCTTTACACAAACATTCGTTCAAAGAGAGTTCCCTTTCTCAGATGCAGAAGCGTCAAAAACAGGACGAATTTTCGTGGTTTCACTTCCTAATTTGATTACAGGCCTATGCGGCAAATAATGACATTCATTATTCAATTCGTTTTCTGGTACGCGTTCAATAATATTCAACCTTTCCCATTCCTTTGAACACATTTTGATAATCATCGAAAAATTTACTACATCTGAGTTTATAGATCATCTTTTGATACCTTTTCCAGGATAATTCTTTATTATCGGTTAAATGTGTCGTATCACATTTCCACGGAAGTTCTACTTCATATCTTCCATCTGGAAGAATTTTCATTTTGTTCTCAAATTCAGATAAATTAAAACTTTCATTCATTTTAACAGTTTCGTTTGGAGCGCATATTCCTATTTTTTCAAGTTCCCATAACTCATTCAGAGGAATTCTCCTGACATGCATTGAAAATGTTTTCAAAATATTATCCTTTTCACCCGAATTTCGTTTTGCCAAATACCGTCCACCCAAGTTTCGTTTCGACAGCCGTTACCCCGGACTGTAATTCAATAGAATTTCCCG